CGTCAGTCAATCAATCACACACTGCATGACAAACAAAAATTGTGCCTAGACTCGATTAATTGATTTTTATGAACAATGCCGCGAGTCAATGACTCGACTCGATTCCGAATGCATGCAGCCGGCCTAATCCTAATCAGTTAAGATCTGGCAGTGGCAAATGGGAAATGTGAAAATAATTGAAACTGACGAGCCAAAGCAGCGGTTTATTAACCACTGAACCACTAAATATGCATTGCGTACTTTTGCATTCTTAATTAAACAAAGGCGAGCGCATGAGGAATACCTATTAAAAATGTACAAGTAAAGGGTATGATGGAATGAACTTATACTAAAGTAAAGACATAGGCTTGGAATTGAACTTGCCAAGATCTAGCTGTAATATTCTTATGGATTTCATTCTACAGGCAAGATGGACTCAATCTCAATCATACCTAGGGCATTCGCAAGTCAAGCATGCCCCACTTGCAGCCACTCTTACTTGCTGGCTTTAGATTTGTAGTACAAATTTCAAGTTCATTGTGCGAAATTCACACGATGCTCTTGTTTTTTCATGATTATCTCTAGCCGTACAAAGAGATTCAGGCCCGCGACTCGGCTCCAATTGTTGCAGCGACCCAACAAAGGCCTCAGGCGAAACAAAGCCAGCGGCAGAGTCAGAGGCAAACGGAGTTGGAGCTGAAGTTGGAGTCATAGACGCTTTGATAAGACAAATGCCAGCCACAAGTTTCACTTTTGCTGGCCGCGCAAATCGTAGATTACCACGCCGACCCACAGCTGGAGGCGAGCTAACTATATAGTATGTATATATGTAGGTATATATGGCATGAATGGGCCATACGACTCGACGACTCTGGGCCAGCTGCGTATGGGCCACAAATTGTTGACCGTCGGCCTTCCGAAATTTCATAATTACCTTCCGAGACAAATTAGTGCAGTCGAGGCATAATTGAGTCGGGCGCTCAGTGTCGTTTACCATTTGCTGTCTAACTGCCTTAACGACCTGTGGGGGTACCAGAAACATTTACATTAATCCATTAGCCGAGAGTTTCCCCTTTGAGTCTGGGGGCCAAAGAGTGCAACAACAATGTTGGATGAACTTCTCTTTTGAATAAGTTGTAGAATTAGCATATGAATAATGGGTCTTTCGTATAAATCTCTAATCATATAGTTAGACCTAATATGAACAATTTTTAGCTTTTCCTGTGCCACATTGAAATTAGGGGTGTGCCATGGGGTCTTTATGGGTAACAGATAATTTTGGATATGTGAAATTTGCATAAGTAGTAGATCATGTAAAAGAGGATCACAAATAGAATTATTATAGATTATATCTGATTATAAATGATATATTTTAGTCTATAAAAATGTATATAATAAATATTTATTATAGTATAATATGCAAAATAGTTCATTTACATATCTCTGACTAACTATCTATCATATTTAAGTCGTTTATCTATAATTAGTTAAAGTACCCATACCATTTCAATTTAGATCGATCTTCCAAGCGCTGCAATCCCATCTCAAATTTACTGCAACTGCAGCAAAGATTGCATTCAATGTGGTCAGCACTAACAAGAGTTCCAGAGCTATAGATAGATAATATCTTGAGCAAGTCAGAAGCTAAGAATTGCATACTAAACATTTCCGCTGGGCAGCAATAATAATAATAATCATAATACTGCAGCAAAGAAATTTGCAATTCCGCAATTGAATAAAAGCAAAGATAAAGCAATTTCCATAAGTGCAAAGCGCTTTTCTCGCTCAAATTACAGCTAACTGTGCAAATTCCCGTTGCATCTAATTTCCTCAGAGCACTTTTCACTCTGCACTCTGCAGAAGGCGAGCCAACGAGCGAGCGGACATTGATTATGCTGCCCTGCAGTCGCTATGCGATCTTAGAATTACAACAATTATTGACTGCGAACGAGACGGCAAAATAATGACAGAATTAATTAGAAAAGAATAAGAGTCTATAATTAAATAGCAGAAAAAATAAATAAAAATAAAATATATTTATCTATTCAGTGACATTTAAAACACTAACAGATAAATAGAATGTAAATATACATAAATATGTTATGTACAACATTAGGCAGTCATTGCAGAGACTGTTAAAACTAACACTGTTAAACTGTTGGACTGTTAATATGCATGTAGTCTGTTAGTGCTGTTATATTCTGTTATATACATACATATACAATTATACTGCAACTTACGAATGCCTTTTGAAAATTCCATTTTAAATTGTAAAAAAAAAAGAAATTATTTAATATACAAAGAGTTAATAAAAATATTTAAATTATTGTTAATTGCTTTAGAAACTGTTGAGTAGTATTGCTAGACAAAAAATACATTTATTACATATATACTCTATGCATATATAATATTTTTATGACAAACTGCGCGTATAAATTAATTTATTTTATAATTATTTCGACATTGTGGCAGCCCAACCCTATTGTTGGCAACATATTCTTCAACTATTCAGCTTTGATCTACAATATGACATCATGTCAACATACTTAATCTTTAGACAATTCTAAACTAAATTCAAGTTGCGCTGGGTCAAGCGATCCGCCTTGCCTCGGCATTGGCCAACTATCGCATGTTGGCTAATTAAAATACGTGCGTACAATACCTTAAATAAAATTAAGGTTTTCATTATGTAATTTATGAAAAATTCCATATGCGGGCGTCTCTCTTTTTAGGTCTACATAGTAAAAAGAAGAAGAAGCAGCAGCGTTGCTTGGGTGCGTAGCTCGAATTGGTGTCAATTTGAATGTGAAGCACTCAAAGTTTTTGCTGCCTGTAAAAATGCAATTTTCCGTTTTTCTTGTTTTTTGTGTGTGTTTCGACAGACAGCAGACGGACGGACAGACAGACAGCAGCCTGTGGCAACCGCGATCTTTACTCGCTGTCCGCATGATTGATGTCCGTTGGCTGTCGCCGTGTTGTCTCTGGGTCTATTGTCTATCTCGGGTTTTTATTCATTTGAATTTCGTTTGATCTGCTGCATGTTTTTTGCACAAGTAGAAAATATGCATTGCCCCAGCGACCCGTTCTTATTGTACTATGAATGAATGAGTGGGGAGAGGCAAGACCTATGTGGGCTAAGCTAATGGCTATATATATATCTCTGGCTGATATATATGTATATACTATGTGTAGAGTCTTTTAGTTTTTGCATCTTTGATTTAGCTGCTGCGATTTCTCCTGCACAGGTGTCCATTAAGCAACACCACAATCGAAAGTGTGCAGACAATTTCTAATTGTTTCTCTCTCTAACTATCTACCTCTCTCTCTCTCTCTCTCTATCTCTCTCTCTCTCTCTCTCTCTCTCTCTCTCTC